AATCTTTGGAGCAGTAGATTGGTAGTTTGGTGAGAAAATTTTGGTTGGGACAATCCGTATGAGAGACAACAATTTGAACATACCCAGTGGTATTGCCTTTCAAGACGTTGCGAGTTGCAAATGAGCTCGTTTTTGTGACCACACGAAGTCCATGGCAGGTTGCATTCTCTTGTCTCCAGGACCTGCATTACTTCAGGTAACTCCAAGCGGAAATATTGAGCAAATCTACCTTAGGTGATATTTTGCCGGGGAATTTTACGTGGCGCATGCTATTTCCGTAGAAGCTAATGTCGTCGGGCCTCGGGGTTGTCAATTTTTCCTCTTGATCTTTACACCCATCTGGGATAACACCGGCATATTTCGGAAACGTGAAACATGACCTATCCGCAGCTGAGCAGCTTCTAATGTGACTGGACGTACTGTATTATTTCGTTGACATCGACCTAGGGTGTGACGCGTGTATTTTTTACCAATTCGACCATCCGACCACCGACCGATTTTTGCGTGACAAAACCGAAAATTTCGATCGCTGCAGCGAAAATTTTGGTTTTTTTTGCATGGTGGAGGCCAAAAAATGCAATTTTGGACCCTGCGTGACATATCTTGCGTTCGACCAGACCCCGAGTGACGCGTGACACTGCACCAATATTCCAATATTCGCCATCGACCAGAGGGTGTGTGACGCGTGACGGTCGAATTGAATGAAATAATACAGTATGACAGCCGGTGCTAAGTAGCTAATACAATGTCCGAGCCGCGAGGTGGGACTTGTACAGTAGACTATCAGCGTCATATCAGAGATGTCGAGCGCCATTACATCCGCGCTGCCCGATGACTGGTGTAGTTTTTTTAAAAAAATTGTCAGTAGACACAAGGAATGATGTACGCGCTACGCTGAACTTTTCTCGTTGTCATTTATTATGCGGAATGTGTATTCTTTCACGGCCCTCTTCACCTCTGCAACGTGTCCTCTTTTAAATGTGGCGGCCAAGGTGGGATCATCCCACGATATTTCGAGGAGTGCTCCGGCCGTCTCGAATCCCTCAGCTTTCAGTGCCTTTTCAATTTCTTCCCCAAGCCCATATTCTGCACAGAAATCGGCCACTGTCAGGGCAGCCACGGGAAGAGGTGTTCCATTAATGGATACAAACTCTGGGGAGGAGATCAGTATACCTTCGGATGTTCGAATCATGCTCACTATTCTGGGGTCCGTTTGGTTCGCCCTGGGTCATTTTGTCTCCCATTTCTGTTGGCGCCGACAAATTCAGCCTTGCTATTATACAGAGCTGTTTATATACTTCCGAGTCCCAGGCTATAAATATGTGACGCGGGCTGTACACACAATTTCTAAGGGATGTTAGGACTTGATACAACTCCGGACCCCAGATACAGGAAATTCAGGTACAGACCCACGCTGATCGTGGAGACAGATGCAGCGGTCGTCAAGGGAAAAGTGATTGCTTCTATTTTCATGCTTTCCTCTGCTCCGAGTCGCAACGATGTGAAGAAAGGCATCTGTCTAGGAGAGAATATGGATCGATAGTCAACGATTTTCACGTAAAACACTAGCATCTCTTGCAGCAATTCAAACGTGCATCAACGAAGGAATAAGTACATGCCCTAAACTCAAAAATTTGCCTCGGCTACTGGTGCGAGCTGGGTCGTCACCCCTTATCTGTCACCCGATAAGATAAGATATGTTTTTTAAACTCCGCTGCCTCGCCTTGTCTCCTCGACTCATCATCATCTTGAGATACTTCTGGATGGTGAATGTAACGATAATTCGAGCCACTGAGAGCTGTGTACTGTCCCCTTGTGTCTGCCTCTCTGCTAAATCTCCATCGGATAGTGGACTGGCACTGCTAGTGTTTTGGAAGCTGTAGGACAAGCACTCCACCGCTGGTGGATGGCATTTCCCCCTCATCTGCTGCTCTGTGGAGCTGTATTCAACCGGTGACTCCATTTTCTGTTCCACGAAACTTGGGAATCGGCGAACCGTGAAAGAGAGCGATCTATGATGACCATCAAACATTCTTATTGTTTTCCACTTCTGCTTCTTTTTTCGTGGAGGTATCCAAAAATACACCCTGGTTGAGTACTGGCTGTCGAGAAAAACATTCTATACTTATTACTTCCCCAGCTATTCCGCGGATCTCCCGCCCGACATATCGATGCTGGTCGAATCTCGGCAGCCTTTCGCGATCAAGCCCACGGAAAATTATCAGTCAAGCACACATCCTCGCCGGTGGCGTATTCCATCACGGTATTGCGGCCCTGACCTCCAGGCTTCTTTTGTGGTCCATCTACCCTCCGATCGTCTCGTTTATTGTTGAAGGCAATTTCCAGTTATCTGCACCGAAACCAACTATTGTTCTCCAGCTATATGATGACGCCAGTAATATTAAGAGTCCAATTCTTAATGTGGAACTCGATCGCCACTCTCGCTGTATAAAAGACGCGATAAATTGCACTCGCTACTTCAAGCCCGCCGCTCAATTCGCCCACCCGCTGCACGCTTTTTACGCATCCTCCCAATTTTCAATGGACGCTTTCACCACCACCACCGTACCGACGAAGACGGAGATCATCCTCCCTCCAGTGAACGACGACGATAGCTCAGGTTCAAGTGGAAGCTGTGTCGTATGCAGAGTGGACACAGACCTCCCGCCGCTCGATGAGGATGATAGCTCGGGCTCCAGCGGTAGCTGTGTAATTGCCTGAACCTGGTTCACACATCCATCGTCGGTTTCCTGCCTTCAACTTTTGCCGCCACCGACTGACCCTTTCTCCAGATCATACTACAATGTAACACCATATCAGCATTCGCATTATTTTCGAGGGGAGGAGCGCCAGACGAGCATGACGTGCCCGTGGCACGGCGTGGCGCTATGTTATTCGAATTCTTTATTGTCCTATTTCCTTGTAACCGTGGCCAACGTCACTGTACTTTACAATGTAAACACATTTTGCGCTAGGACAACATTGACAGGTTTTCACTCAGGATCGAAGGCTTAATCGTTGATAGATATTTTTGCTCAAGTTCTGATGGATATATTCATTTTCTCAACACGCAACTTTGTATATTCGGGCAAGCAAAGTTATATAACTGCAGATTACAGAAATGCAGACGGTTGCCAAATCGAAATGGACGGCACAAGGTTATGTGATTCGCGACAACAATAAAATAGTCCATTCATCGCCATTGTGAACGTTTTCATCGACAAAAAGATCCAAAACTCCAAATGTTGATCATGCGATGTGGATCACGACGTCAAAACCCTCCTCGATTATTGGACGCAGCCGAGTAAGGATCCCATCGGATAATTCATTCGCCCTCTTTTCGCTTTTTTCGCCGAGAACTCTGAGGCGAAATGACTCCAACTTTGTCACCCCGCTGTTCGCCCCCCTCCATCTGGATGTAAGCATATCGGTGAGGGGCAATATCGAGATGTCGGTAGAGTTGGCTTCAAGTTTCAACCCACGAAGGGCAGGTAAGAATAGGTTGTCGTTGGCGAGGGATTTCACGAGCGGAGCCATGTAGAAATTTAGGGGACGGTAAATCTCGACCTGTTCAAGAGATGGGGCGCATTGAAGGCACCCTTGGATGACGTCCGACTTCGTGCCCAAGAGAACCATCTTCTTCAGAAGGCATTCAGAACGCTCGACCATGTGCTGGATCGGGGCCATATCGAGGAAGAATGTGAGGTGGATGGTGATAAGGGCAGGGAGAGTGAGATGACCGAGCAGGATCCTGAGATCCGGTCCATAGATGGCCAGTTTCAGAGTATGAAGGTGGGCGAGTCTGAGAGGCGGCAGCTCCCAGCTAACCCTCATTATGAAGGTCGGAATGTCCAAAACTTCGAGGTTGGGCGTGTGGTGCAAGATTTCCATGCAAGGCTCGACAATTCCGTCGGAAAAACGTAGATGAGTGAGCTGGCGCCACGGCAGAGAAATCGACTGAAGTGTGACGCCGGAGAGATGGACCTCGCGAAGGTGCGGCGCCTCACTGAATGCTGTTATAATAGTGGGTGGGGGGACCGTTTCGGGGAGCTGCTCGAAATTAATGACAAGTTTGGTCAAGCTCGGTACGCGCCCGCGGATGGCATCGTTCGGGAAAGCATGGTTGCTGCCCAATGTCAACCCGAGATTGCGCCATTGAGAGGAGAATTCGGATAGGACTGTTCCAGGCAACGAAATAGAGGGTTCCGTAATGTGGAGATCCAAGGGATGAGTACCAGCACGCGAGAACCAGCGTCGAAGAAGGCTCACGAGGTTTTCAATGCTCGAATGCTGTTCCGGGTAAAGATGCAGAGAAGCCCATAGAGGACAAAGGGAATGGGATATGTCGCGCCAGTTCCTGCAAACACTGGCCAGTACCAATGGTCCGCCACCGGAATATGGAGGGGAATCGGGAGATTCACGGGGACAGCCGATGCGCGGATTATCCACATAGTGAGTGAATATCTTACCGGTGATCTCGGGGGGTAGATTGAGTACCGGATAGATGACGGATTCGAGACGTTGTAAAAGCTGTCGCCGTTCTGCGGCCAAACGCCGCAAACCCGACTCGAGAGTTTTCACCTCTTCATCGATTCGTGTCAGACGTGTGCGAAGGCGGGATGCCTCCGCAGGCGAGAGAGCTATGTTTAGATCCACCGAGGTATCCATAGTTTTCGGCATCAAGGTCGCTGTTGGTGGATGAGATGGTCGGTGAACGATTTCGGAGTCGATTTCGGTGGACATGGGAGGTGGCAAGACGCAAACGCCCAAAGAGGAAGTACACCGCCACTGTGATGGCAACCTTTGTGACATGTTCAGAGTTGATTCAAAGGTAAGTATAACTTGTCTCAAAGTTTCCATGCACCGAGAAGGGCCTGGCCCCGTTTTTCTTTCTTTTCGTACAGTCTATCGATACTCATTTTTTATTGACGCCCAACTCTGAACATATGGCAGGACTTGGGCAGGACGAGAACTTCAACCCCTTAAGTGGCCCTTAGAGTGCACTGTTGGTGTAGTGGTAACATACTCGCTCCCTCGTTATGAAACTGGAGCGGTCCGGGGTTCGATTCCCCGACGGTGCCACCTTTTATCGCATGCTTTTGCCCCACGTCCCCACTGGCCTTTCTGTGTCTGTCCACGACCAAAGTCTCAGACAACACTTCCAATCCAACTCACGTCGAACCAGGACCTTTTCAGTAAGTACTTGGCCCGGAACAGCCAGCAACCAGGCTCTCTAGACCAGGTGCATCTCATACAGCTTACCACTATTTCAGCTTGGACTGCCGTCAGCACGTTAGATCTGCGTCTTTATGTCCCTCGTCCTCAGGGAATCCATTTTCAGTACCCCACGTTCGTCGGATAACATTAATATTGTATGTGCGGCTTAGGACTTCAGAATCTCCAAAGTTGAACTTGGTTGAACAGCGCGGTCAACTAGTTCCGATCTCTTCTCGTCTCCGACATCGTTCGCCACCGAGGGTATCAGGGAATGGTTCGTCTTTGACGCGCCATCTAGCAACTCGTGCTCCGTGACCGTGGCGATGGGATGGTCGTTCTTCTCTGCACCGCACCTCCTCTTCCAGCTCCCGAACCAAAAGCTCCACCGCGCTTTCGAGGACGCGTATTCTCGGTCACATCCGAAGTCTGTGAATGGGAGTTGAGGGGAGGGGATGTCTCAATCCAACATCGTTATATCATCGCCTCGTTCTGCATCTGCTCCGGCCCGGTTTCCTCCTTCTTTCCCTCCGTCCCCTCATCTTCCGTAACTTGACCATGATTCATCGCACGAATGGGCAAGACGTCAGCAAATCCATGAGGTGAATTTCTTTCTTCTTTCCTCGCTGCTAAACGGGAGTGTAGTCGCCAAAAATAAAAGGCCAGTTTCGCCGTGGCCCGCGGAGGATATTCAGCCAGAACACCTACCACAAATTGGTCTCCGCGAAATTCAATTTGCGGTCTACCTCACATCCATATCGCGCGGAAAATCCGGTTCAGTCACACAGGATGCAGTATTGCAATCTTCCATTAAATCGGATGCGTAAGAACGGAGGCACGCGAGGCATATGGCTGAATAAAATTGAACGATGAAAGGCAGTCATCACGAGCGTACATCCCAAAACGCATACACAGGTTCGATGATTGCACCTTTGGCGTTCAAAATTCACCCTGCTTTGACGATTGAGCATCGGCTCGTGGCTGGATAATATCGAGTCCAGGATTGTTGGATCGAATCTCACGTAGAAACGTCGCGCTTAGAACAGAAGGTTGACAGACTTGAGCCAATTGTCAATGTGGCTGAACTGTAGAAAACACGCTCAGGCATCGTTGCCGAAAATTGAGACGTATTGAATCACTACGGAAGTTTCAAGGTTTAGTCGACACCTACACACAGTGCAAAGTGCAAAGCCAGTTGTTGATGGAACTCAAATAAGAGTGAGACGTTTAAATTTGGGACGACGTTTATGTTCAATGCGCGTCGCTATACTTGAGACGTCAACGGCAGATGTTTGCGCATGAGGAAAAAGCACTAAAAGAATTGTAATATGTACACTGACTCTGCAAAATGTTTGACCGATCGGTTTTTCGATCGTATCTCAACATAGAGCTAACATTTCGGGACGAACCAAAGACAACGATTATGTAGAATTAGTGCTGCTACCTTCCTACCATAGTTGTGGATCATAACAACTTGATGTACCATCAATCGGGCCGGAATACAGAAAACCGAAATCTGAAATAGCCAAAACAGCCAAAAATAGCGATTTTGCGGGCCCTGTAGCTCAATATCCCCTGTATATTTTTGCACAATTCAAACTGTGAGCTGGAAGGGGACATCCTGAACTCCATTCTCGTGGTCTCAGTTTGTTCAGAAAAGAATCACAGCTCAAGTTGAAAATTTCGATTTTCAGTATTTCGGCCCGACTCATCAGCGCATCAACAGATTATGATCCGAAAATATAGTAGAAATGTAGCCAAACTAATTCTACATAATCCTCGTCTTTGGGTCGTCCCGAAATGATAGCTCAACGTTGAGGTACGATCGAAAAACCGATCGGTCGAACATTTTGCAGAGTTAGTGTACATGATATCAGTAAAATAATAGAGGTAGGGCACAATTGGCTGAGATATTCAAGAAGTCGTGGCCTCCATCGTGCCACGGTCGGACGCGTGGTCCCTAATATAATCAGGAACCCTGTGCGGTGGGGGACCGAGAAGCAGTGTTGTATATAGGTAGGGGCAGAGTTATACCGTCGTATCGCAGCTGCGTCGGTATGAGGAACGGCTGCGGGTGCGACGGCACTCCCTCCCCTACATCAGCATGGAACCGCGCCTCCGCCGCAACGCGCTCGGCCTCCTCCTCCTCCGCTTCAGCGTCCATCTGCGCCGCCAACGAATCCATCTCTGACTGCGTCAGCGGTTCTGACTCCGCGCGGCTCCGACGTTCGAAGTTCTGGCTGAGCCAGTCCCCATGCGGAAGGTGTGGTATGTGTACTGGGGTGTGGCGTTCGCCGGCGTGCGGGGTGGGGTGCGCGGTGTGGGTTGTGGGTGGGGTTGGTTGAGGGGGACTCGACGTTTACGGGCGAGCGGTATGGGAGGGGATACAGCTGAGGCGAGGAAGTTGTACCTGGTAGCGTGCGACTCGGTGCCTCGGTGCGCTGCACAACGCGTCTTCTGAGCGCCGAGTATATTACCGCTGATGAAAGGGTTACTTGAATAATTGTGACGCGGAGGAATTGTTGGAAACACACCACACGCAGCAGCCTATACCTGTGGTTATGCATCCGCAATTCTCCTTGCGCGGTATACCGTCCAACTCCTCCTTTTGCTCGGCCGTGAAATACTCGGCCGGGAGGGGAACAATGGTATTACCACCGTCCTCTCCCGAGCCGACCCAGCCGATTCTCCCGGGATGAGCGCTAATATGAATCCTGGTTCCGCAACCCGTGGACGGCTTCTCTCGGGGAGCCTGAGACATGGGATTTTCGAGGGGAAAAGGCAGAAATGGGACGACGTATTTTTCCGTGGACCCATACGGAGATGGAATTGAAACTTCGCCCGCAGGTGAAATGCCTGAACCACAGGTTAAGACATAAGAGGCCCGTCTCGAGCCGTTACTCCCTCGAAGGTGGGGTGGTGTGTGGCGGACTGGTCGCGAGGGCGAAACGCGCCGATGAGGTGGCGTTACGGGTCGATATGGAGGCGGTTGGTGGTGGGAGGTGGATGCGAAGCGCTGTGTTTCGTCAAATCTTTCTGACATGGCCGGTGTGGTGGTGGTGGCAGGAGAAAAGGAGGTGCTTCGAGATCGACGAGGCACAGCCTAGTACAGCCACTGATGCGATGATTGATGAGGTGATCGAACGACGGGAAATGAACACTGAACGAGGCTGGACGGGGGGATGAAACCCGGATTCGAACCCAGTTAAGCTGTGTGTACATCCCCTTATACCCGTTTCAAGTGCGCAACTCGCGCCACGTCCGAGATATCCTTTTTGTTATGGGTCGAGGGACCCGGAGGTACTGTACTATTTCGACCAAGTATTCATGGGGTGTGACCAGTGACCCCAAGTATTCATTTTTGAAGTACTCACCGCTGGCTGGGACCTGTGACCGAATTTTCAAGTATTCATTTTCTAAAATTTTAATAGCAATCCCTCACTGCGGAGGGCTCGAAAACACGTTATTTCTCTCATTTCTTGTGCTACTGGCATTGCAATTTGTGAAAAACAAGGCCGTATGCATCAATATCCAGACCATAGTGGTGCGGAGAAGATTTTGGTTTTTGGTTCTATAAAAATCATGAAACGGCCAAATATTCGTGGCCCATGGTGACCTGTGACTTTTTCACCAAGTATTCAGTTCAGCCGGCCGTGTGACTAGTGACTGAATACTTGGTCGAAATAGTACAGTACATGTCTGGTCCCCGTCTACAGCAACATGTTTGAAGTTGAAAGTAGGGCGCAGGTCCGAAATATGTATATAGAGCCCAGACGCATGCTTGGACTTCTCCTCAAGCTTACACTGTGCGCCACATCTGTGATGCCCCCGATACAGAATGAGGTACTGTATTTTTTCATTCAGGTCGATAGTCACGCATCACGCACCACCGTATCGATATCGAATTTTGGTCGATGTCACGTGTCACACAGGCCTTTATCGAACCCAAAATTCGCGTCACACAGGGCAAAATCTCTCAAAAACGCGAAAAACCGAATTTTCGCGTTGAAAGTTTCGAAAAATTTCCGGTGGTCCACGCAAAAAATTCGGTGGTATCGAATTGTCGAAATGGTCCGAGTGGGTCACGCGTCACACCCTGTGTCGATCTGATTGAAAAAATACAGTAGCCGTCAAAATCGATCACTCAAAATAGTACGTGGCTGCGTTGGGCTGCTGTGCTAATGAACTAGCTAGGAACGACGAAACGTAGGCAAAGTAGTTTTCAGGGAAGGAATGGCACGTACAAATGTACGCCATTGGATGCATAGCAATCAGAAGAAAACGGTCTCTTGCGAATCTCGGATGCTGAGAGTTGAAACCAAGTCACTTCTATCGTGAACACCCTATTTCCGGATTAAAGGCAAACCGTCCGAGATATCGTTTTTTTGGCACAGGTTTTTTTTTTCCAGACTGATTGAGGTGCCTGATTACTGTATTTTTTTCAATCAGATCGACACGGGGTGTGACGCGTGACCACCCGGGACCAAATCGACAATTCAATAGCCCCGAAATTTTCGCGTGACCACCAGAAAATTTTCGAAAATTCCAGTGCGAGATTTCATTTTTTTTGGTGTTTTTCGGGGATTTTGCCCTGCGTGACCCGAATTTTTTGGTTCGATAAAGCCGTGAGTGACGCGTGACCTCAACCAAAATTCGATATCGACGCGGGGGTGCGTGACGCGTGACTGTCGACCTGATTGAAATAATACAGTATTATCCGAATCGCAGCCGTCAAAGTCTTAATTATTGTCAGCCATCCTTGGCCGCCCCGTACGTCTGAGTAAAGTCTTCGACGTACTAGACTTTACTCAGACGTACGGGGCGGCCAAGGATGGCTGACAATAATTAAGACTTTGACGGCTGCGAT